GCATTTTGAGAGTTCTTTCAAAACAATGCAGGCATGGTCTGACCTTTGCTGAAAGTCGCTGTCCGGCTCAAGAATCGGTGTTCAAGAGGTTTGAGACATCCGGACAGTTTCAAGATTTGAATTGGGCCTTGCACATTGGCGCAGGATATGTATACACTTGGAACTTGACAGAAGATGTGCGATCCAGTTCTGGCCTGTGGCCCTTGGCACATCTACAGAACCGAGATTTGGAACTGCCGGGAGAGACCTGAGAGACAATGCAAAGCAAGTCTTTAGACACGGTGTTTAAGTTGACATGTTATTTACTGTAGCATTTAGCATTCTTTAGCACTATATTTAGGAGTTCAAGGGTTGCACCCTGGCTATGATGGAGCGCCCCTTGACAGAGCCCTGGTGTGCCAACTGCCACCCACTCTGATCTATGCCTAAGGTGGCTTGATTAAGGAAGGACCCAGACAGCTAGACTGATTGATGTGGCCCTCATCACCTCCTTTTTGCATGCGCATGCTTGGCTAAGATGTTTGAAGCTTGCAATCCCCGCTCGTGAAGAGATGGCATCAACAAAAACTAGGGAATCTGAGTTGATTTGGCATACTGTATTTGATGTTCAGATTGTTGCAGCATTTTTGATCTCAACCGGTATCGACCATCCCCTTGTTTCCGCATCTTCCAATTTGCGATTCCTCAGCTGCACCATGCTGAGCACCATGTTCGCTGATCAGCCTCTTCCTCCTGTCGGTGTGCCGGTATCCTCGGGTGTGCATATGCCACATGCGGGAACAGCAAGCACTTCAGGAAGGTTTGCATCGACTGCGCGCGGCCTTTACTTCTTGAAGTCAGTGCCGAAGAAGGGCCGTGCTTCATGTGCGCGTGTGGTGCGTTACACTGAGGATCCTCCCTCAATGGCGCAAACGGCCATGCGGGGCCCTCTCACGGCAACGGGGTCGGGAAAGCCGCTCACAGCCGAAGAGTTGGAGGCCTGTCGGAAGGAACTGGAGGAGATCAAGACGAAGTTTGGGCTTTCTGAGCCGGAACGTGCCCATATGGATGAAGAAGGCATCAAGTGGCGTTTTGGAGGGAAACCCGACTATTCGCTCACCAACTTGCTGTACCTGAAGGGAAGGACTAAGAACCATCCTGAAGGCTCCTTGGAACTCATTGTGGAGAACTTAGTGAAGACTTGGGAGATGGAGCGTTCCCACAAGACTGACCCGGACCAACATCGTTCTGTCGACCCGGCAAAGTTCAAGTTTGCAGCCAACGGCTGGAAGAAGTTCAACAACAAGGAAGCCAATGAGGTTGGGAACTACAATGTCTTGCTGGCTGGTTGTCCCGCATCCCTCTACGATGCAGAGAAGCTTAGTAGTGGTTGAGTAAGACAGGTTCGAACCGAATCTGTTGGCTTATATTATTACCTAACCATGCCTTAGTATTGGTCAAATTGGTGTGCTTTGAGATGACTTATCCTGTTGTGTTCCCGTCGCGGTATGTGCTCTGCAAAAAGAACGGTTGAGGAACATGACTTGGGAGCAGTCCCATGACAAGTTCCCACGATGCCTTCGCCGCCTTCCCATGGGAAGTCCTTGAAGTGTTCTCAGGGCCTCCACAGGTGGCCTTCACTTGGCGCCACTGGGGTGAATTCACCGGGAGTTACGATGGCAACAGAGGTTCAGGTGGAGGGCTCAGATGGGACACCCAAAAATCATGTAAATTGCTCAATAGTACGGCCTAGTAGGGCAGTAGAAGCATACAGCATGGGTTTTGCTTGTCCTAGCATCATTTTCAAGGTGAATTGGTGGAGCTCGTTGGCTTTGGAGTAGCTACAGTGGATGATCAGCTGCGCTTGGTGGATGTGGATATATTCTACAAACCTGAGATCTTTCTTGAGGTCTTAAAAGGTACCAAGCCAGCTGAGGAGCTGTGGGGGGCGCGTGATCTGCTTGGAGTTGGTTCTGTGGCTGGGTGCCCTCACTTGTCCACCCTTGAGCCCTCGTCCAGGGGAAAATCCGGTTGTGTTATTTGCTGAGTCGTGTTCCGCGCTGAAGTGAGGGGGCGGCTTCTTTCACAAGGAAAGAAGCGCAAAGACTCACTTAGGCTCTGTTGGCCAGCTGTTTGCCCGCCATGGGTAAGCACACCTCTCAATAGGTATTTACAGGGATTTTGGATTGGAACCTATCGGACACAAGCTGCGCAAGTATTATAAAGAAAAGAGCAGTGTTGATGAGCATCGGTTTCGTTCGGACAAGACCGGACTGGAGACAGTTCCATATAATGTTTGAAGGCAAGGCTGGAGCAATCTTGATGACTCTGTGACTCTCTGTTCCTTTCTTTCCTCCAAGGGTTTGTCTCCAGGACATTTTTTCAACTCATTCTGCGCTTTCCCCAGCGTTTTCCCAAGGTGCAGCAGTTGCGTGTGGCGCCGAAGCTTGGCAGTAAGCAACTACAGACCCAAGTCTGGCTCCTCACTAGTAGGTTGGAGGCCATCACTAATTACATCATGCCGAGTGAGCACGAGTCCCGCAGAGGTGACCAAGCCCCTCCCCAACAAAAGGCCTGGACCTGTTTTTTTCCCCATCACCAGCGGCTTGTTTGATTGAGTCCATCCACATGTTAGCCTAGAACATCTTGGAACCTGTGAGTTTTCCCTCCGAGATGGATTGCTTCTGGTGCAAAACTGGGCGGCAGAAGTTCTGTCCCTGGTGGATTAATCCACCGTTTTCCATCCGTCCTTCGAAAAATGGTGCGTGTCCAGTTCTGTCCCATTCCTTGATCATCAGTTGCAGCAGTTGCCTCTTCCTAGGCACGTAGCCCGTGGCGAGTGGCAGGAGGCGGTGCTGAAGCTGGCGCTCCTGCAAGCGGACAGGGCCCGACCGACACTTGGCCCGCCTTTGTCTTGAGCCGGGGAGGGACCTGAGCCGGGGACCGGCTGTGGAGTTTCATCTTGTATAGAGGAAGAGATGAGTGTCATTGTTTGTAAAAAACAACAAAAGCTTTTGAAACAGACTGCAACTGCAACTTGGGCATGTTTGTATGACTCATACAACCCCACATGATGATCATGACTGGCAACTGGGGGCTCAATAAGATACCTCCAACATCCTCCAACTTTGTTCATCAAGTCTCTTCCGTTGGGTTTGTTGCAAACGAAATCACACAGGCAAGGTGGACTTGTCTACACACAATCACAGCCGAGGGAACCCAGTAGCCCATGCCTGTTCTCGTCCCCCCCCAGACATGTATGAGGTGTTTGTCAATGGTATTGTATCAAAAGGTTAGCACAGTCCCTGAACACCTCAGTGACCACATGTGACAACTGTGCGGAGGATTGAAAAGATGCAGGTCCACCGCGTCCGAGTGTGGGATAAGGAATGTGAAAGAAGGAGGTTTGACGGACAGTCCGAGCATGCATCGAACATCATAGTCACACCCACTTATTCTTGGCAATCACAGTTAAATGAGACAGACATACAGTTCTACCGGATCAGGTTTTGTAGGGAGGCCGGATGCGGAGCGTGTTTGGAGTTTTGAGTATCGATTTTAGAGTCCTGTTTGCATCCTTTTTCTGGGGGCATTGTTGACCCGTGGCGGGTATGGGAATAATTCAGACGTCGAGTTCCCAGGAGCGATGTGGTCCGGACGTCGGTGATCAGCGCAACTGGTCCGACCTGGAGGGGCGGATCACGAGATACCTCAATATCACAGAGCAACAGGCCTCGGTCAGACGGTCAGATGAGTTAGGTTAGGTACCATATCCAGGTTCAGCTAATTAATCGACATGTAACATGGATCATCTTTTTGAGCCTACTGACTTCGGTGTGGAATCTTGAATTGGTGAACATCCCCAATTCTGCTGCTTGACTTGGAAGCCATCAGAAGAATCTGGAACGGTCTATCCATGTATCCTTGGAACTTCCACTGCGATTTCTTGGTAGATGATTTGATCCATGACCCATCACGACTATATATATTAATATATACTGTAATTCTAATAATTCTATCACTGCGATTAGTCTTGCCATAATTTTAACTCACTGGCTCTTGTGAGTGGCTCATGAAATCCAAGAAGAAGGCACTCTTTTGTGTGGCCAAGAAATGCCAAGAATGCGTATGAAGGCCTAAGGCGGATTCTAGAAAAGTATAAAAATCAAAGAGGTTTGGTGGAACAGGCTGGATAGGTCGATGGAACAATGCTGTGAAAATATGTGAATATAATCCATTGGCCTGCGCTAGAACGAGGCGTGCAAAGTGGCACGCCGCTGGCGGCAAGCCCTGGAGGCCTTTGAGGCCACCAGAAACCGGTTGCTTAATGGAACAACAAGGGTTCAGGATTGGGCTGCGGGACGGCGAGAATCGCCCTGGGTTGATTGAGAATTTACCTGCAGAATCCAAATCTGGGAAGGGGGTGATTGATTTGTTGCCCTCGAAGGGGGACGACATCGGTCTAGAAGGATCATCTTTAATACGAGAGAGCCAGTTGTTTGTTCTTGGTTTTTTATCCTTTTGTGTGGGTGACAAAGCAGCCTCGAGTGGTTGGGCGAGTCCCTAACCTCGGTGGCCATCAGCAACCAGATGCACATCACGAGCGCCCGGAGCTGATCGGAACAAATCCATTCGAGCCTAGTTTTAGCAGTGTTGGCACATGTTGCTATGGTTTCTTCGCAGATTTACCTGTGCCTGCCGTGTTTCCGGTATGGCCCGAACGAGTGCTGGAGGCTTGATCTTGGTAGGACCAAACTTCCTCAATCAACACTCCTTTGAAAGTGCCACCTGGGTTAGTGAGATCGTCTCCCAGGTTGACCTTCAATGTCGCTGCTTGGCAAACACTGGCAAGCACTGGCTCAATCTGCATTGGAAAGCCACCCTTGAGGTTGTATGAGGTTGTATTATTTGGTGGGTGGAATGATGGTCAATGTCATTGAGAGTCAACACAGTCGTGTTGTGGCTCGCAATCAGGCAGCAGGCTAGCTACCCGGTGGTCAGTTCAGCTCTTTGTGGTTTGAGCGAACTTCTGTGGGAGAAGTGCTTGAGGGGGTTGGATGCTTCGCAAGGGTTTCAGCAAGTGCGGCCAGGCCTTCACACAAGAACACACTTCCTCCTGTTCTCAATGACCAAATCGACCGACGCCTCAAGGCAGCAGCAGCTTTAGCTGCAACGCAAATATGGCAAAAAGCTTTGCTGGTGCTCCGGCAGATGGTAATCGTTGCTCTTCTACCGGACTGGGCGAGTGGGAGTGTTAATATTTGCAATATTAACCTACACGGGCCACAATGTCCAAGCTACGGTATATACATCAAGTACAGAGACTTTTCCTGCGCACCGTTGCAGTGAGCTTCCCTTGCCAAGTCATGCCCCAATGCCAGGCTGCTTGGGTTCCCAAACTGAGGGATTCACAGATCCCGTCATCAAAATTTGCCCGGAAGGACATGGTGAACGTCAACACTGCCATGAACATCTACAAGGGGGTCGGACAGTGGCAATCCAGCCGCATCAAAGAACATCAAGAGAAGTCTCATGAGAAGCAGTTCATGATGTAGATGTCAGCACGATGTAGGTTGAGACCCCTGCTGTTCTAGTTTGCAAGAATCACCACAGCAGGCTTGGCGGAAAGGTTTATTGGATGGCAGAGCGTTAGCTTGCTGTGGAACTCGACCAAAATCTCCAGGTGGCAACCTTTGGAACTGCTTGGAAGCTCCAATCTCCAGCCTGACATGGTCTCCACCAACACCTGCAACTTGCCTGCCTGTGCGCGTCAGAGGCGGGACTCCACATCGCCCAGGTTCTTGTGGTGGTTACAGATGAGGAGATTCGGCCTTTGTTCTAGGGACACAAGACGAGACACGGTGCAGGATGTTGTCCACTATGTCCTGCTACTGTACATGTTTACGAGTCAAGATGTGGACAGCTTTGCACCTGCCTACATTTCGAGGTGGGCTGTCGCTTCACATGGTTTTTGGAGTTGTAGGGCACATTCCTCCTTGCCCACCTTGCACGATTTGCTTTTGGTAGACATGCTTGAGCGTTGGTGCGATGCACTCCTTCAACGTGTCGAGAAGGGACAGCGCAGTGTCAGGGGAATGCTTGAATGATATGAATGAACATCACAAGCAATATGAGGGTGTGTGTGTGTGTATGAGAGGTTACTACCTACTACATTTTGTATGCTATTACGTACTATACAGACTATATGGACACTACTGTTGATTATTGATGGACGAAATCCTGCACCACCTCACCACTTTACCCTGGAAGGGTCGCATAGCAACCCCCGCGCCCCCTCATTCAATGTTGGCGCGACCCCTTTGAGGAGGTGGTGCAGGATTTTGGACCTTCAACTTGTTTTAATTTTCTCACTGTGGTGGCCCCAATGTTAATGAGGGAGAACGAGGGCAGCAAGAAAACAGAAAGGCTTGTTGTGAGCGGTGCAAAATCATGTGTTTTCTTCACTTGTATTGTGATATATTGTGATATCTGTGTTATTCTACATTGATGTTGCGGTCTCACAACAAAAAGCATCCTAGAAAAACCAAGAAACTAAAATACCATAGTTTTTGGGTCCATGTCTGGGAAACTTTGGTTTTTCCAGGAAACCCCCCAAAAAACAACAAAGTTGTTGGATCCATGTCTAGGAAACTTTGATTTTTCCAGGAAAAAACAAAAACAAACATATCAGAACATGGACTCAAAAACTTTTTGTTTTTTGTTTTAGAGAAAAACCAAAGCTTCCCAGACATGGACCCAAAAACGTTGGTTTTTTGTTTTTTGTTTTTTCTGGAAAAACCAAAGTTTCCCAGACATGGAGTGGTGTGGAAATCATTGTTTTTTTTTTCGAGGTTTTGACGTTTGCAGGATTAATCTAGATTAATCCTATTCCAAAAAAAGACACAATACAGCATAACCCCTCACCTTTAATAATCCAATCTGCAAATCCATAATTCTAATAGGTGTTATTAGAAAAATGTTGGTAGTAAATGTCTTCAATAACTGTTAACCCAAAATGAAAGAGGACGGGTGCTCCTGGGAGATGTTTTTTCATGCAAAAAAAGATGCAAAAACACTGTGTTTTACAGTGATGTCTTGCAAAATCCTCTCCAAAATTGAGGTTCTGAGCTATTTGGTGATCAATTGTGTGAGATCCAAGCCTATCCCAGTTTAGAGGGAATACAAAAAACAATAAACCAAAAAACAAAAAACACAATGTTTGAGACAAAATGCAGCTAACATAATGGTGCCCCCATTTTGTCTCAAACATTGTTTTTTGGTTTATTGGTTTTTGTTTTTTTAGTATTCTCTCTAAACTGGGATAGGCTTGGATCTCACACAATTGATCAAAAAATAGCTCAAAACCTCAATTTTGGAGAGGTTTGAGCCAAAAACCACTGAAAAAAACACAGTGTTTTTGCTTCATTTAAGTTTAACGGTGGAATTTGATTTTAATTTGGCTTTCAATTGATTTTGGTATTAGACTTCTACTAAAACGCTTTCAGAATTATTGGTGGAAGTTGGTTTCTCATTAGCTTTCTCTTAAAAATGTGCTTAAGATTAATTGTGGATTTTTTACAAACTAAGTTTCATTTGTATCATGTTCAAAATCATTGGGGAAATTGATGTTTATGTTAGATTTCAATTAGCATGTCTTCAAGATTAATTATAGAAAAATGAATGTGTAATTCAACTTCGATTAAATTCCTTTTCAAGATTCTTGTGGCAATTGGTTTTGAATGAGATTTCAATTAAAATCATGTTATATTTCATTGTAGAAATTAGTCGTTACTTAAATGTCAATTAAAGTCCTTTTCAAAATCATTGTGGAAATTTCTTGTTGTTTAGATTTTAGTTTAATGTCTTCTCAACAGAATTTGATTGAATTGCTTGTGTATCAGTGTATTGGATATCAATCAAGACCCTTTTAGATTTGATTGTGGAAATTAATTTTCAGTTAACAGTTAATGGTGGGAATCAATTCTTATAATTAGACGTTAGTTAACGTCCTTTTATTTGATGTTGCCTTGTAGTGGGGAGCAAACAGATACAAAATCAATTCAAGTTAGTTAAGCATCACAATTTCCACAATTACTTTTAGATCGATCTTAAACACAACCTGGTATTGAATCAAAGCCACCACTAACTTTGAAAAGGACTAACTAAAATCTAATTGTAAGAACTAGTTTCCACAATGAGTTTTTAAGAGAACTTGGAAGGAGTTTTATTGCAATCTAATATCTAATAAATAGCAATTTCCACAATCAATGCTAAAAGGATCTTGATTGAAATCTTCTAACTTAAGTTTGCCTAACTCTATTTTAATTCTAGTTTAGTTAGTTTAAGAACACACATGTTACAAAACCCTATATATTACAGTGTTTTCTGCCCTAGGAGTGCTGGGAATAAGACAAAAACTATGTTTTTGAGTAGGTAGTATTTGTTTAAAGTAATCCCTTGGAATAACCATTGCTATATAAAAACTGCTATATGTACAAGCTTCTAATTCAAAAGGTTCCCTCTAGATCTGATCACTTCTGTGAAAGAATATAAAGCTTTCATTTCAAAAGCTTTCCTCTGGATCTCTGGAAATAGTCATCATGTTATTTTAAAAAAGCTATAAGTATGTATGTAAGTGTTTCTTTCAAAAGCTTTCCTTCAATGAAAATACAAAAATCTAGAAAAATCTACTTTCCCAGAGATCCAGAGGAAAGCGATTGAATCTAGAGATGTATAGTATTATATCTTCATTCGCTCATGATGCTACATTCATCGTGGGCAGAGAGAGAGATTTACCTGATAATATTTATCATTGGTGTTGCACATTGATAGTGGGCAGACGAAGAGCTGTTATTTGTTGTCATTGACATTGGACATGGAGACTGGGCACAGACAGATCAAAAAAATTGCGTTTTGCCTAGTTCTCAGAGCAGTTTTAGACATTTTGCACGGTACTTACAGTGTTTTCTAAGGGTTTTGAGCTAGTGTGTGCTCTCCCAAGCACACCCACCTTCTGAAATGAAAGGCTAGTAGTCTATTATATTATCTTTATTTTGGTTTCCTTCAATAGCGGTTTTTGTGTCTTCAACTGCTTTTTGTAATACTTCATCTATATTATCTTCATCTACATATTCATCAAAGTCATTCACAAAGTAAATCTCTCTATAGCTACAGTCATTTTTCCATATTCATTTTCTGATGCTTTTGCCACCAATTGAACTTCACTATCAAGTTCAACTCTATAATTTAAATCATCTTCTACTTCTTCATAAATCAAAGATAGTAATTCTTCTTGTTCTTTTGTTCTTATGTCTTCTATACTTTTCAAACTAAATGACACTCCCTCTCATAATACAGTACTCAATTTTGTATATTTTTATTGGTTTCAAATGTCTTGACATTGTAGGACCAAGTTTTGAAATCTTATATTTGTTTTGTATTCTCTTCAATGCTTCACTATGTTTTATGTTCACCTATTCAGGTTCTCCATGGGTATATGATACAATATTACTCAACACATTCATTCATACAATCCATCCACTAATACACTTAACTGACTAATCTTTAAGTAAATATTCTAAGGTTAATATCAGGCATTATTTGAAAAACACAGCTTAAAGATAGATTAAGTATATACTATTATATGATGAAAAAGTTGTAGACTATCTGTTGGGTAATGATTTAGCAGAAATACAGAAAAAGAGGAAGAAAACAATTAAAGTCCATAATCATAGATGAAAAGAAATTCAGTTACAACAAAGACAAGCCCATATCAAATGTTTTGACAAAGAAATTCAGTAAAGAAAATTACTGAATACAGAAGTTATGCTTTAAGCAAGGCAAAGGGTGCTTTCAATGAAGGAAGAGTAAGACAAATACTGACCAAACCACACAATCAGAAACTAATTTAGGGTCAGATATGTTCAATCAGCATTTAGAGCATATGCTAATTCAATAGCTTTAGAAAATAAACACTTTGAAGGAGAAAGAGGTATAGAAATCATTGCGCACCAAAAACAAAGACTATTAGAGTGTTTTCAGAAATAATAGAAGCGTGAAGCTTATCCTAAGAACAGGAGGGTTATTGGAAAAACCTGAATATGATGATGGAGGAATTGAACTTGGTAGTCAAGAACTTGTATATGTTTTACCATCAACATATTATCCAATTCATAATGAGGATGAACTGACACAAGCGTTAGCAGATAGTGTTAAACAAATCTTTCTACAAAAAATATTGAAGCATCAACCTCGAATTTAAGGTTTAAAAGATAGTATCCGTCACCATTCACCATGACAAAATTGACCCAACAAGAGCAGGCAGCTTTATAGAATTACCAGAATGGATTAGGTTAAAAAAGGCATGTATCAACATTAAAAACAAAGACCAAAAATGCTTCAAATACGTCATTCAATCCGTAGTCTTTGACTAAATAAGCAAACATCACCCAGAGGAAATGTTCCACTACAACAAATTGAGTGATGACATTTTGAACTGCGATGGTGTAAAATGTCCAACTGGTATTAGGGACATAGACAGGTTTGAAGAAAACAACAAATTAGTTTCAATAAATGTTGTTTGAAACTGATGACTGCCTTAATGATTTTATTAAAAGTCTATGATGAAAATAATAACTATCAGATGTATGAGTGAAAAAATAGTAGATTACTTAACTGCCAAAACAATAAAAAAAATCAACAAGAAACACTACTGCCATCATTGCACCCTTTCTCATCAGAAAAGGCGTATAAGAACCATCTTGAAAAGGAATGTCTGGCATCAGAAGGACAACAAACAAAGATGCCTGATAAAGACACTTACATCGAATTTGAGAAGCATAATACTAAATTGCCGTGTCCATGTGTAATCTATGGTGATTTTGAATGTCTAACCACTAACTCTAACAATGGTAAAAAAGGCACATATCAGGAACATAAACCGTGCGGTTATACGTTGAATGTAGTAAGCAGGATTGATCATGTCATACAGTCATACATGCCAACCATACTTATACAGAAGTGAGGATTGTATGAAGCATTTTGTTGAAAAACTGACTGAAATCAAGAAAGATATATTTGGAAAAAATGAATGTAAACAAACCAATGGATGAATTAACTTACAATGAAATGAGGCCATATCTGCACAACTGTGTTGTATTCTTCCGAGAAAATGATGTTCCAAAAAAATGATGTTTGCATGCTTGCCGCTGCGCATCTGATTAACTTTCTGGCAGTGGATTAATCTAGATTAATCCTAAAAATCTTACTTTTCAACCGCTCACAACAAGCCCCTCTCCAAGAAAACTGTACGCAAAGTGGTGCAGGAATTTGTCCATCAACAGTATTACTATCCGTGACTATCCTGCAACTGTGTCACTGATCAATGAATTTCCTGACAGTTTAGGGATTCTGTTTGCGAGGGCATCCCTCGCAAAACCAATGTTCAGGGCATCCAGGTGCAGCCATAAAAGGGCCAAAGATCCTGCACCGAAACGCTGACTCGTCCCAGGTATTGCAGCGTGCCAGATCCTCGGACATACAGGGGAATACATCGGATGAGTGAGAAAGAGTCCAGAGTTGTACCATATGATAGTATGTGACACCCTAGAGAAAGACATAGAAAGAAAGACTATGAAAATATTACTTTTTTTCAACTGTTGTCATTGATCCACCGACCCAATCTGTTTTTCACAAAACATCTAAGGCCGATCGCCTGGAGAAGTGCTTTGCAGCTAGCAGAGAACCATGGTGTGGATGCCACCGGAGCAGTGGCCTTGTTGGTTGGGAGCCCCATCATCGCATGTGGGAGATCAATTCGGACAATCACATGCAATCACCATGAACTGGTCGTAGCCAATCCCTTTGCACTCCTGAGAAGAGGACCATGATGGACCATGTCATTTATTGAGACGGTAGGATATGGCATGCCGTGGCCGATGTTTGAGAGTATATGGGTGTGTCGCTTCTTGGGGTGGGTTTCTTTACCGTACTCTTCATGTTTAACAGAAGCCGCCGAGGCTTGCGAAGCTGGCTGGCTTTGGGCACAAGCGTTGCGCCTTTTCTGGAGGCAGGAAGGTGTGCTGCTTGACACCAAAAAAATGTAAACCGTAAACCATTGTAAACCCAATTCTGATGTAACGAGTTGTAACGGATTCCAAGATGTGCTCCACCAGGCTCGCCGAGCTGTCACTGGAACTCTCTTTGCGGCTCTGTACATCGGCCCGGGGGGGGTCTTTGTCGGAAATCTGTCAGCTACCAAGTAGCGCGAGCAGGGGTTGGAGAGGTAACCGCCAAACATGCAATTACTGATGTTGTAAAGAGCGGTCCTGAATTCAGGAATTGGGCTAAAACATCTAAAACCTGCAAAAGCGATAGAGCCCCCTCAAAAGCGATAACCTTGCTGAACTATGGAATTATGTGTAGATATATAGTTATATATATATATATGTATATAATTTTATATATCTTTTTTGAGAGTACGTTTGGGCAGGCGCTCATATGAAGAGATGTAGAGTTGCGAAGATTTTTTTGTCCTGTGAGTCCATGTTCAATCCCACCCCGCCAAAGTTCATTTTCTCCCTTTCTTTTTGATCAGTTCGGGGACATGCAGCCACGATCAGCCACGAGACAAGAATTCAAGAACACCTCCTGTCATCGACCTGCGACAAGGATTGCCAATTCCCAAACAGATTTATTAAGTATCAGAGATTGGTTTGGCTTTGACTCGGATAGGAAGGATTCACTCCTTCCTACCCTTCCCAGTCCTTCCTGGCAGGTCACGACCATTTGCGAGATCAATGACGAGTGGCGCAGTGCAATCAGCTTGTAGCCGCTCGATACAACGGTGTTGTGGGTTGAATGCAGACAGTGGTTGAGGTGTTGTGAGGTGTCTCAATCCTGGAACGATATAAAGATATCTTTTCTTTCACACAAAGGACGGGGCTCAAAGAAGAGTCGTCTGCTGTCTTTGGTCTTATGGATGTCGCAGTACATCCAAGACACTTTGGACGGGTGACAGAAGATGCAAGTTGACGCCGCAGAAGTTCTGAACTGACCTCACTGTGGAAGAGTTGGACATTAGCAAACATTTGAAAAGCACTTTGAAAAGGAAAGAAATGGAGTTCAACATGCTGTAGAAGACAAATATAGACAAATTCTGACACCATTTGACACCCGTAATTGGCCAGGACACAGAAACTGTCACTGACTTCCAGGTTTTTTGCTGCTCCCCCTGGGCCTCCCCAGATGAGCAAGAAGTCACCTGGTGCTCGCACCCCGCCCGTCCAGCTCCTCCCTATGGGTCAGCGGCGCTTGTCCGGATGTGGTGGCCATTGGTGCCACACTGAGTGCGCTCCGGTCCAGATGGAGAGAGAGCCAAGGCGCTTCGGTGACTTTGCCAGTCAAAACTCTCGAAACTCTTCGTGTCTCACCTTGATTATATCATAAATATTCATAAATTGTCTCCAGCTGGCGTCACAGGTGTGAGGCTGAGGTGGGCTCACACACCAAAACAGCAACCAAAAGTCAGAGTGCTGCAGAATCGAGCTACAATCCGCCGGTTATATAACTCTGTGAATGGGAGAGCTGGACATATTTGCGAGCGTTCTCAACAAGTCCAGGCAACATGCCAATGGTTTATGGACCCCCAAAGCCGAGTGTTTCAAGGCTTGCAATGTGAGAGGATGCTACGCTCGGATCCTTCCTTCGAGAGGCCTTCTAGGCTTGTCGATGAGAACATCGCTCCGATCCAATGTCCAGGTCTCAGTCGTCTGGAGAGACATGGGGAGAGCCAGGACTTGTGGCTTGTCACAGGCTTGTCGGTGCCACTTTAAAACTCCGCAACGTGGTTTCCGCGCATGCAGCTCTATGCTTAAGTGTTCATAATTCTTAATTAGACAATAAGTCTTATCACATCATCTCAAATCTGTTGATGGTCTAAAGAGCTGCCAGCATTTGCCAGCTGCCTCCAGCATGAGGTCATAATCATGAGCGCTGCAATCACTGCCTGTGAGAAGGAGGGCATTTGACCGTGTCGAGTTGAGTCCAGCTATATCAATGTCTGCAAAATAGCAGCTTGTTTGCTATTAAGTTGGAGGCCATCTCTATTGGGTGGAGACCATCCCTTTTAGGCTTCCATCGCTAGTAGGTTGCAGGCCATCGCTCTTAGGTTGGAGGCCATCGCATCGCTCTTAGGGGGAGGCCATCGCCAGTAGGTTAGAGGCCATCGCTATTAGGTTGCCAGCGCCAGTGTCAATGTTTGGGCCCGAACATGTTAATGTTGTCACAAGTTTGTGTTCCGCGTGTGGTGGAGTAGGTGAAACAAAGTGAAAGCAAGTGGAGTAGGTCAGAAGCTTGACATGGTCAAATCTATATGGACGGCAGTGCTCAGTTTTGTGACCTGTTGGCTGACACTTGAGCTTGGTTTGGGGAGAACCCATGAGACCAACAGCCATCCACACAGGCTACAGTTTCAGCGCCAATGGACTGTGAATCAATTCCAACATGGTGTCGGAATGTCCGGGACTAGCTTTCCGCAGTCTTGCTGCTTCTCTAATAGAACATATTCCCAGCCTTTTTATGTTGTACTCCCTACCAAGCAGTTTGATCTTGAGACAAACAAGCGGCAGTGGTTGTTTCGCCAGGGCTTTCAGTGGGACTTAGCCCTTCATTTGCTCCTGGCCATCAAGGCGTGGGCCAAGGAGATGTTTTTGTCTTTGCGGTGGAAGGGTTGCGGAGATAGGTAAGGGACCCAAGCTCTCGTAACTTGATGAAATGGCTGAAGAAGAGTTTTGAAGGCAACTCATAGTAACTCAAGAAGAGCTTTGAACGTGGAGTTGCTCTCATTTTGGGTGAAGATGTACGACTATATTATACGGAGTCCGTATACGAAGTCTGTTAAGTTACATTGGGCAGAGGCCGAGCATGGCATAGCCCTGTACTTACTCAACTCTTGTTGGCGGATAAAGTCAAGTTCCGCAACTGCACAGGATTCCGCAACTAGTTTCAGAATCCGACCGATTAGCTTCCGAATCCGGCTCTAACCCGGATGGCCAAAGAAATCTCAGCTGTTGTTCAAACTCGTGGGAGTGTTAAAATGCCACGGCCCAGTCCGGCCATGTGCACCCAAGATCTCGATTCTGTACTTTCTACGCAGCCAAAGCTAGAACTTAGGGAGGGGCCCTTTGGGATCTCCTTGAAGTGTTTTCATAGTTTTCGTAGACGACCCAAAGCATTGCAGCCTTGAACCCTTGTGTTGGTTGAAACAGGGCATCCAAAGGACCACAGATGGCTCACTGGCAGAACCCGCGGTTCTGAAGAGAAGGCTCGAATCCCAATCAAAAGCTCCCCGTGATGTCTACACAGTCCACTGCCCGATTTCTCCTCCCCTGTCAATTTCACTGGTTTTGGAGAAGCGTTGGTTCAGCGACATCAGTTGCTGAAGGAATTTCCGGAAAGAAGGCCGTCGATCTGGTAGAATCAGGCTCGAATGGCAGGGAACCAAACCTGCAACGGCAGGAGTAGAACTAATCCAAACTCCCAGTTATGTAGACCTCCTAGGTGGTCCTAGTTCTTTGCTACACCCAATTACGTTAACATCCTGTAATCCCCTAAGACTCCCCTTCAAGGCTGCGGTGTTGCGGCCAAATGCCTTTAGCTTGGCGGCCACTGCAAGTGCCGGGAGCCTGAGATGTCAAGACACTTGAAGCAAATACTACTGGTACGGTCATAGAACATGTGCCCATGGATGAAAATCTACGGTTTGGCGCTAGTAGGTTGGAGGCCATCGCTCTTAAACTGGTCCACATACGTGGCATTATGGGAGGCCTGGCGCCTTTGAGGCTCTTGAAAAGTCCCATCACTGGATTGCAGCCATCGTCGCCCTCGACACCTTCGAGGAGTGACGTCCTCAGCTACAGTGTGCTGTTGAGCGTGCAAGAATTGGAGGTATTTGCAAGATGGGCGACTTTTTTGCAGTGCTTCCACAGCCGCTGTTTAAATGATTGTCAGTTGCACGCAATGACTGACAGCTCATGCTGCTGTCCACTCGGATCTCAGCTGATTCGGATCTCAGCTGATACGCAATTGCACACCCATTGAGGCACAAGAACCAAGTGAGAGTCTTGGATGCACAGATTCTGCAAGGTGTCACACTGGACTTTGAGCAACCTTGATATGGTGGATCCTTTCTGACCGGATTGAGGATTGTTTTTACGGCTGTATACTTGCAAAGATGCGCTCAATGGGCAATGTCACACATTAATAGACTAAGCAGTGATTCCAAGTCACAGGGATTGTGGGAAGCTTATCATCCAAGTGTGAGTTTAGGATGTCATTGTGTGACTCCACACGTTTTGTTTGCACAAATAGCATCCACGTGTTTAGACTTTTGGCACTAGAAGTACCGAGCAGAACTTTGCAAGCATGTCAAACTAATTTGTACATTTGCACTTGCAGCCAATCAAGATGATTACAGTATATAATATTATATATATATGTGTGTATAGGTGTTTACATGTATTATAATATGCACCGTATATATATATATAACTATATATATATTATGTTTCACAAACCAATTGGGATTTGCTTCTTGACTCCGACAAGACGTTCCTTCAGAAATTGATGAAGTAGAACATGTGAGGGTTGTTGGAATAATTATTTGCCCCCAAAAGGGTTGACGGAGCCGCTTTCATGACTTGGAGTGTCACAGTGCCACATGTTGCTGGGTTCCAACTTTGCCCCAGAAGCTCCTCAGAGTGGAGGCGACATGTTGAAAGACATCGAAGAAGGTCCAAGCCAACGACCAAACATCGCTTGACAATTCTAACGACAGAAAGTCCCAGGTGGACCAGAAACTAGCTTCAAATTGAACCCTGTATACTGTACCAGTTTGTACACCAGTCTCTTTTGACATGACCTGCAGAGGTTTGATCACATTATTTGCAACGAAAGCCCCCAATCGAGTACATGACGATGAGGGTAGGCTTTTGTTTAGTCCTCCAATTAGTTCTCCAACAGCCAAGCTAGGGGTCTTCTGCCATAGCAAGTAAAGGCTTCGGAGCAGACTCGGAGCAGGCCCGGAGGAGGTTCCGGAGTAGGTTTCGGAGCAGGTTCTGGCGCAGGTTCCGGAGTAGTCCGGACCAGGCTCCGGAGCAGGTTCCGGAGGGACATTTTTTCGCGACAACTTTTTTTCGAGGGCTGCAACTGCGGAACTTGCCGGCCGTGGGCCTTGAGCTGTTGGGGACTACTCTTGTTTTTTTTTGTTTTTGAGCAGAACTATACCAAAGGATCCACACACACAAGAGATCCAAGTTACCATCCTTCCACAAAGTTTTTTTTTGAGTAGAACTCCATTTGTTGTATAGGATTCGTGTGCTTCTCCCCCCAAGACGCCCTGCACCTATCCAGGCGTAAACGCGGCGCTGAGCGCCTGCGAGAAGGCCACGGCCTGGCAGAGTGCGCTGAGTGCATGGGATGCAAAGGAGGTGCGGAAACCAAAGTCCTATGGAATGGGCGGCATCATTTCTCATGTCTCATGGGACTCACTGATTCCGACTGATTCACTGATGTTCATCACGGGGGGGAATCATAATATCTCACTGATGTTCTGGTGTGATAGGATGTGCTTAGGATCTGAGGGTCGATCGTCGATGGTGGATGGATTGATGGATTGATGTGCTCTAAATAACGAGTCCGACCACTTGGGCTGCAAGCAGCTGAACGTCTGTAGATGTATATATTATCCATGTTCCGCAGTGTGTTTGAATATGTTTGCTTGCAAAAGTATGTTTTGTGAGTTTTTTATTCACAGTTATTGGATATGTTTTCCAGTAGTCTTTCGTTTGTGTTTCGGTGTTGTTTTTGTTTCTGCAGTTTTTTTACTTGTTTTTGTTGTTTTGTGTTTGATGTATGTTTTTTTTGTTTTTGTTCATTTGTTTTTGTTTTGTTTGTCCTGTTTGTTTTTTTTATTGTTTTTACTTGTAGAAGGCGTGCTCGCTTGCTTTTGGTCGCCTTTTCATGGCTGCTGGTGCGGAGGGCATTTATTTTGGATGTTTGTGTTTATCCTGGCGGGTAAAAAGGGAGGGAGGAAGGAAAGAAGAAAGGGAAAAAAAGGAACAAGCAGGCAGGCACGCAAGCAAGCAAGGAAACAAGTCCTTTCCAACAAACGTGTCTTTGCAACTTTGCAACAAGCATTCCTGCTCAACAAACATTCTTAACCCAAAAGAATTGCCAAACCAGTGAAACCTTAAGCCAAAACCATGAACCCCTAAACAGCTGAGGCCCTTAGCCAAGCCCAAAGCCATAAAGAAGAAGTGAGGCAAGCCAAACTCAAAGAAACCACAAGGAAGCGAAACCCTAAGCCAAGCCCAAAGAAACCCTAGAGAAGTAAACCTGAGCACCCGTTTCCTCTCTCCCTCTCTCTCCGCCTATCCCTCTCCTTCTCCTTGTACTTATTTGCTTCCTTCTAAAACACTCCTGGGAAGCAAAAGGAATCCCAAAACTGTGTGGGAAGAAATATCCACACAACATCCAGTGGTTTGGATGTTCACGTTTTCTTCTCATCGTAGATTAGGAGTGTAAATCAGTCGTTGGCCAGATTCATCTCAGGGGAAATTCAGAGGTGGTTGTTTTTGTTTAGTGCTTGTGTTGCCGGTTCAAGGGCAGTTTATTACTAAGCACAGTCGCAGTAGTCCAGGCACAGATAGAAGTAGCTAGGGTTGTGTCAGCACGCCTTTAGTCTCCCAGTTCCGGTGGAACGGAGAGACACAAGGCCAAGCATGGCTGGGTATTTTGCCTCACCAATCTCAAGCCAAGGTTTCTCTGTTGACTTATGTTGACTTCTTGTTCCAGTACAGTTCCTGCTCCGCTGTACGACCAGTTCTGTGGCCCTTGGCTCAAACTGACACTTCCCTTGATGATGCAGGTTGTGGCTGTGTTTGGCAACACAGTTGCTGAGCTTCATGAGGAGGAGTTGCTCCCCATGGTGGAAAGTGGGAAGATTTTTTTGGACCTAAAGCGACTACTGTATTCTCAGCTCACGCTGGATGCACAAGGTTCCAGGAGAGACTCTTCACTGATGAACTTGGCGAATTGCAGGATTACATGCTTTTAAGACCACTACCAACTGTACAGTTGGTAGACGGCGGAAGAAGAACTGCTTCAGAACTGCCGAGAGAATCAAGTGGGTCATGTTGAAAGACTGCTTCAAAAACCACAGCACCCGAGCAAAACGGCTTTACATATTGCGGCCGACAGCAGCAACTTGGAAGTTCTGCGATTGTTGCTCGAGGCTGGAGCTGACAAAGATGCAACAATCACAGATGGGACCACGGCATCGTTTGTTGCCGCCTGCCGGGGCCACCTGGAAGTTCTGCCATAGTTGCTCGAGGCCGGGGCTGACAAAGATGCAGCATTCACAGAAGAGGCAGCCGTTTGTTCAGTTTAGGCGCCCAGGAGGATCACCTGGAAGTTGAGCGATTGTTGCTCGAGACTGGATCTGACAAAGATGCAGCAACGATAGATGGGGTAAATACTTTGTGCGGAATGCATATCGGAAGGCCACAGGAAGCTGTGCCGTTGTTGCTCGAGGCTAGAGCTGACAATGGTGCAGAAATCAAGTGATTTTGATACATAGGTTCTTTTCTATTTAGGTTTAAGACCGCTTGTGGTGCAGGAAGAAGAAAAGGGCCACACTCTCATGAGTGCAAGAACTTTTGTTTCGAGACAATGATGGAAAAATCAATCGCCAGCTCTGGCCAGAATCAAGTGAAGTCGCAGACCGCGTTGGTCTCGTGACGTTGCGTTGGTCAATTCGGACGACGGAACTCCGAGGCCGATGTCGTGGCGCTCAGTGCCACCCTGAGCGCCTTGGCCTCGGCGGCTGAGTGGTTGCCAGCGCTTCAGCTGCTGCAAGAAGCACAGGTGCTTGGTGGATTCCTGGGGGGACGGTGGTGCTAGCTAGGCCTAAAGGGAAGCCAGCTTTTGGGATTCATGGCAGACCAAGTTTAGATCAATATATTATTTGTGGTTTAAACGTGTAATTCTTTTGAACTAGCGATGTTCGGATTAAACATGTCCTTCCTTCGTTATATATTTTGTGTGTGGTTCCTGTAGGTTCCTTTGTTTTCGATTCGTTGTTGATGTATTGCTGTGCCGTTTCATCCTAGCAGCTTCCACAGCCTTCAAGAAAACACAGAAAGTCATCAAGGTCCAGCCCTACTTGGAAATGTTTAAATATTTTCTTCTAATAGGTGAACTTCTAGTTCCGAGGTTTCGTTTCCATCTCCAGGCATACAGGAAGTTGGAAGTGCAACGAACTGCGCAAGAGACAGCAAAAGAGCAAACCAAACAAAGGCCAAGAAACCACATCGAGTCAATCGCGTCCTTGCTATGTCTTCCCATGACCATACCGCATACCCAAGAATCGTGAGATCAGCAAAAAGCAAAGCTAAAAGAGAAAAGCAGCAAGGTTGAAGACAGGTGGGCTTGCCGTTGGTATGCCAGTCCCAACTTTTGACCCAGGTGTCTAGCCCTACATTTGAGATTGGCCCGCAACAGAAGAAGAAATTGCCAGGTGGTAAAGTCACCCAAAGCTCTGAGGGAATGGCAATTTTTGCGGGTGATGACAGAAGAACCCTTTTAGCACACGGGCAGTGCCAACTCCCAGGCTGATGAGCTTGTTTCAAGGATTCCATATGCTTTCATGTGTGATGAGATGCCAGCGAAGTCATGCAGTGCCCCCTGCAGGTCACCCCCAACGAGGTGAGCTACAGTGCAGTCATCACCGCTTGCGACACTCAGTTGGACAAGCGAAGGGAGCTCAGGTGGCCCAGGTGAGGGCGACGCGAGAAGTAAATCACCGGAGGCCTGAGTACGCGTGTCTTGATGTCTTGATGTATCTTGTACCTGCCTTGTTCATGTCTGAGTTTGAGAGCTTGATAGCTTGACCTCAGTTAAGTATGAAAGAATGGATAAGAATGGTGTCATCAAGAATCGGAGTCTATGGGGGTTGGAGAATACATCAAATCCATTCAAATACATTCTCTCTTGGACATGGAAGACAATGTGGCTCTACCGGGTGCGACGCCGGTCGGGGAGTACGAGAGATGTTTCTGCGACCACAGTTCTCACGGGGCTTTGGCCCAAGCTTGAGTCTTCCAACAAAGAAACCACATTCAATCGGGGACCCTGGCGACTTGCCGTTGCAACCGCATGGGCATGTGCAATGGCATGTGCATGTGTTGCTTTATGTTGCTTTCAGTCCGATGTGAAAAGTCTCAAGGAAAAAGTGGGTCACTGGCAGCTGGCTTTTGCACTCTTGGACGAGATGGTCGAGCAGAAACTGCAGCCTCCTGGCTTTCTGAGATTCTGCCGTCTTCTTGTGTCTCCAGACCCCAGGTTCATTGCATGGGTTAATCACTCCATGCTGAACTGTCGAGAAGAGCGTAGGAGACTTCGAAACAGCATGAATGACCCTTTGCTGCTGGACCTTCGCGCCCATTTAGGCCTGATGCCTTCGCATTTAATGCAGCCACGGCTGCGTGCCTGCGTGCGGTGGAGCTGAGAGCAGTAAACAAAGAGGGCGGCAGCAGAGGATCAATCCTGGCTCCCGTCACTGGCCCCCATCGCCCCTCAGCCTCGCGTGGCCGTTCATGTTCTCCTTCGTTGCCCTTCTCCGTGTTCAAAACAAACATTCTGAAATGATGTGCATGTTATATACTTATATTATATTTATGTGTTTTTCGCCAAGGACTCCCTGAGCCGTGCGACAAAAAAGAATCTCAGATGTTCAATCCACGGTAGATTTTGAAATCCTGGGTGACAGTTGTTGGTGTGCCGGACAGTAGACCCTCTAGCGATACGAACAGGACCCGAGCCGCTCCAGTGAAAGAGACGCGTTCGAACTCCGGGGGTGAAAAACGGCAATCATGATGGACATCCTTACATCGAATTTTCAGAACATCCTCAAGCAGCTGAGCGTCACTCAGCAGCTCGGCCTCCAGGTGGGCACTGCCTGCAGCTGATGCTACTGCTACGGTTCCTTGGCACGTTGGGGGCTGTGCAGTCCCCCAACCGATGAGTGTTTTGAGGAAATTGCCATGGACACTTCAAGGTAGTTGGATGCAAATTGTAGGTGGAGAACTCAGGAAATGTCAACGCTCCTGCCAACTGATTCCAGACCTTCGTTCACATGTAGAGACCCTCAGCTGGTGGGTGGGTAGCTGGTACTTTTACTTTTGCTTAAGCATGCTTTTGACGTTGAACTGAGGCTCAACTGCAGGTCCAGGACAACCAGTCCAAATTTGGGTGATGCTTTCTGCGATTGGAGAAGCCCAATTTGTGTTGTTTGAAAATGGGTGTGCAAAATCTGTGAACATTGCCTTCTAGACTGCTAGAGTGGTAGGTTCACATTCAGATTTACGAGGTGGTGGGGTACAGGAGCTGTGCTCCCTATAGACAGTGGAGAATCAACCATAGTTAGCCGACAGTTTTAGGATGTTTTAAGTCTTTCCATGTCGGATCAAGCTGCTTGGAGCTGATCAACCAATGGTTTCATCTGGGATGTGTGATCAGTGATATGTTGTGTTGTACCAGCGGCTCTACCAACAATGTTCAAGTCTGCCAATGGTCTTCCAGGATGTTTGGAATAATTACCTGGAATACCCAAGACTCTGTGAGGTTTTGTAGTTAACGACATTGAAGCCGACAAACGTGTGGACTCTGTGGGCTACACTGTGGGGTAATTGCAGTCTTAGCAGGACCCGGCACTGATGCCAGAGCCATCGAGGCCTGAAATTTGGCACATAAAAAGATGTGAAACAGAGAAACGTTGGCGGCAATTCTGAAAACTCAGTAGGTTCCTTTGATACTATCCGCTCATATTGTTTCACTTGGTCTTTTTGGGAGATGTTAGCCACCAAATCTGTCAAATATATACCCCTGTAGACTGTCAACTGACATGGACTGAAACTTGACCCGTTGAAGACATTTTGTCTTTACAACTTATACAGTGGTTATGTATGGTTATGGGAATCTCACCTGTTGGTGCACACGAGCTCCGCCAGGCTCAGTGCGTATCCCTTGTCGCACAGCGCACCACCAGCACAAGGAGATTCGCCTTCGATCGACGGCATTCCTCGGCTTGGTCCAAAGATGTCAAAAGGAAATGAGCCCTTCGATAGACAGAGCGTTTGATCCAGGCCAACATTTGCTCTTTTCTGTAGACTGTAGAGCAAGTTGTAGAGTGAGAGGTGAGTTGCACGGAGAGTTCTGGTTTCGGATGCCTTTTGTGAGGGGGGGGGTCTAGATTCTAGATCACCTGAAGATGAAAGCAAGTGTCTGGTGCCTGTTAGTGTTGTTCCCGGCAAGTTGCTCTTGCGGACATATGTCGAGCAGGTGGTGCAGACTCTATGCTGGATTAGGATTCCGTATGGATTCCGTTTAACACACTTCGCGTGCGCGGGGCAATGTTAATATTCTTGAACATTTGTGGTGAAGGTCCAGGCTTTTCCACCTTTATACAAATATACAGTAGATACAAGCACATGACATGCACCAAGTTCTCATGAAACCGATAATCAGCCCACGTGGATAATGTAAGGTGTTTAACGCATTGAAGATGCCGAACATAGGATCGCATCGATGCTTTGGCAGACGCAGCAATTTTTGGGGTCAGGGATTCGGACGTCCATCCGAACCAGGAGCCCAAGCATATTACGCGCCAGGTTGGACACGGACATTTCCGTGCTCAGATGGCTGTGATCATCGTTACTCACGATTTGAGCTTATAACTGCTTGGGTAAGGACAGTCGAAGTCAAGTCTCGGACAGGTACACACGAGATATGTAGCATCATGGAATCATGTACTGTAGTTTACAGTGCAAGGCTTAAGACTTGCTTGTTTGGCACAGAGCTGTTTTCACCAATGCCAGTGGGCGCAAAATTCATGAACATTCCAGTGCTTTAGTCAACATGGGCCGGGTATATTATTGCCCGCAAAAACAGGAATTGAATGACAGAAAGACTGTGGAGGGTTTGGGACCCTGCTGCGCTCCTTGGAGATCCTTGGAGGCCTTCCAAGCCGGTGCCCAATGATCGCTGAGCCAGTGGTGTGGGGCGTGCCGAACGCGCCGAACGCTCCGCGACATGTGCCAGCAAAAAGACCAGATGTTCTTTCTGTTTCCGAGTGGTCCAGTTGGAAACGAGTTGCATCATGTTGCACCAAGAAATGAATATGTACAACTTACATGTTTGACATAGTTTGAGGATGTTTGAGGCATTCTGGCCCAGCGGCGAAGGGGACACTCCAGCTTCTTGTTCTACGATGTGAGTGACTTTAGTGTGTGAAGACGAGACTATCTTTGGTATATATGTGGATCGGTATATCATATAATATCATTTATATATATACATATATTGGTCGCCAGGGGGCTGGGTTGCACAAACAATGAGATGAAGGTTGGAGTGCCAGGGGAGTTGACCAGTTTCTGGTGCAACCTCCGGTCTCTTCCACCAAGTCTGTTTCCTGGAAGCGCGACTCAGGGAGGTTCGTTGCTCGCATGTGCCAATGGCTTCGGGATCGGTGGCCTCGGCTCAAGCGGCACGGGAGTCGGCCGACCACGATTTGGCGAGGCACAGAAGGATGGGGTACCTGGATCAGTGACTCGGGGCTGACCTATATGTAGCGAATAAAACAAATTAAACACAAAAAGGATTTAGAATGGCAAGCAACTGGCAGACATCAACTGTCTAGGCCCTAGTCATGCTTCTCGCAAGCAGGACGGAACTGGCAGAACCACTTGTGCCTTGGTTGCTTCCCTTGCTTTGGAACCACATGCCGGGGTCAAATCTACTTGAGCAACTTCACCAGCGAAACTGATTTGCTCCTAGTAGCATCCTTGCTCCTAGTAGGAAGGCCAGGAGCCCCTAGTAGCGTCCTTGCTCCCAGTAGCGATGCCCTTTGCTCCTAGGAGCAATGTTGTGCCAGCGAAGCGGAAGCAATTTCAGAAGCCTTTCCTACTACCCAAGTCTCCGACCAACAGAATCGCCAGCTGGGTTGTTAACACACGAATGCCATTGAAAGATCCTCCAACGCAGAGGTTTCAGCAGGCACGGCCTGGTTTGCCCTGTGGTTTCTCATGGTTTTGCTATGTTGTCCATGTATCGAATATCTCAACAACTTGGGCCTGTTTGCGCAGGTGGACTGCCAGCCTTGCAACCATGGCGATGAAGTACCTAGGAGCCTATTTAATGGTCCCAGCCCTCAGATACTCGATTGCCCTGATGTTTGAGCGGTGAATGTCGTGGCCTTTAACCTCGAAACAATCCAACGCCAGAACAAATCGGCAAAGTTCAACTAAGGTCAAAATTTATTATTCCGATCCACCAGATATACAAATAAAGACTGTTTGTTTATACCATATGCACATATATAGTTACAATTAACTATATCTATAGTATATATATATACACACACACGCCTTTTCCACATGTCAAAGTCCACCCATTTCATTTGAAGCTGCGCAGTTTGCCCTTTGTCCTTTGAGCACTGTTGAGGCCGTCTTGGGCGGCAAGGAGAGAGAGACGCTTCAGCGATTTGGGGGTCGCATCGACCGGCATCTCCCTGGTGAGTTTGAAGCGTTGAGCGAGGAACAAGATGGAACAAGGAACCAGGTTGCCAGTTCATCATCCCAGCAATTCATTCGGTTCCAAGAGATTTGTTGCGCACTGAAACTGAACCTATTTCTCCCTGCACCATAACAAATAGCTCCAGACAGGGGAAGTCTTGTTTGTCGATGTCTCCAACGCCCTAACGGTTCCGTTGATAGACCCTGCAGCAAGGCCGGCCGAATCCTACGAATGATCAGCCCACCGTTCGTCCCTCAATGTTCTAGTGAACCACGCAGCATTCTGGCTTCGAAAAGCGTTTCCTTCCGCAGTCCTGGGCGGAGGCAACCTTGGGTAGTGGGTGAGGAGGTGCTCATAGCCTATACAGCAAGTTTCAGCATTTGAATTACAGTAAGCCAGGAGACATGCATATGAATGGCATTACATAACAGAAAAGCCTCCATCTCCTTATAGTTCAGTTGCATTTTTGGTTTGTTTGTTTGTTTGCATTGCTCAGAACTTGGTGGGTTTACATCTGGTGAGTCATTGGTGTTATTTGGTGTCAAACAAGGTCCATGGATGGGTTGTATTTGGCATGGCAAAGCTTGTCCATGATAGAAGCCTTTGTGTTGGATGTGGAATACTTACTGAGCCGTATATAAGCTTGTCCTGCTTGACCCTTTTTGCAATCACAAGAAACAATTTTCTTCAATTCCATGGCGCACACACACACACACGGTGTTGTGAGGACAAGATGTTCCTTGGTCTTGCTTTCAATGTATTTGAGACTTATTGCACATTCCAAACATAAGACACTGAGTCTGTGATATCATCATATTTGAGCTCCCCTAAAGAAAGCTTTACTGTAATATCTTACATGTGTTCAAGGTAACTCGATATGAGCTAGTGGCATGTGTTTTATGACATTTCATGAATATATTCATGGTTGTTAGCACCCGCTTTGGCAGTTCTCCCAAGAAGAGGTGAGCATGGACTCATCAATTTGACTCATTGAGGTTCTTTCTCAAGGTAAACATAGAGCCGCAGACAAAGATTGACCCCTACAACCACCGGTGGAGGAAGACCTCTTTGGGTTTATCTTGGGTGCTTCATCCTAGTGGCGATGCCCTTTGTTACTAGTAGCGTCCTTGCTCCTAGTAGCGATGCCCTTTGTTACTAGTAGCTTCTTGACTGGAAAGGCCATGATTTTCCTGACGGCCTTCGTGGCCCTGGTCGCCGTGCTGGGCCCTTTGGATTTGGAAGCATTCTGTTCCAGGGAGGTCCCAAGCAGTCTCAACCACTACCCAGGAGGATAAATGGATGAACATGGGGATGTTTCTTTGCAGGGGCAGGTTCTTGATACTGCCTATTTACAGAAAATGGATAATGAGGATATTGTCCTTTTGTGCGAGTTTGTAAGATAGTAGAAGCACTACAATGTGTATCAAATGTCTGGTGATAACAGCCTGGCTTTTGTCCCCGCATGCGTCGGTTGTGTGTGTGTGTGTGTCCACCCCTGGACAAAGGGTTTTCCACCGCCACTCTTTTCACCGTTTTTCCACCACTTACCACATGCAGGGGCACTGAGCACTCCTTGGCAAACTCAGTGCAACGAAGCTATGCCTTGGAGTGGGAAGCACGGATTGATCACCCGTGTGTACCTGCAACAATTTGGAACTGTTGAAGACGCTGTCCAATGTGCTC